TTCCTAAAATGGCCAGTTCCCTCAGTTCTTTATTGGGGTGGGAAATTCCCATTTTAGGAATTCCCAACTTGGTTTATTTTGATTTTTTTGCCTTTTTTTTGCCCCTTTTTCCTGGGATTTTGCAAATTCCCAATGAAATTCATCCTGAAAGAATTCCCATGGAAATCTTCATCCTCAAATCCAGGAATTCCTGCTGGGATTTCTCCAATTCCCAAAAATAAAATCCCAAATTCCACATTAATTAATCTCCAATTAATTAATTTCCACATTAATTAATCTCCAATTAATTAATTATCACTAAGGTTCCCTCAGTTCTTTATTGGGGTGGGAAATTCCCGTTTTAGGAATTCCCAACTTGGTTTATTTTGATTTTTTTGCCTTTTTTTTGCCCCTTTTTCCTGGGATTTTACAAATTCCCAATGAAATTCCTCCTGAAAGAATTCCCATGGAAATCTTCATCCTCAAATCCAGGAATTCCCGCTGGGATTTCTCCAATTCCCAATTAAAAATCCCAAATTCCACATTAATTTCCACATTAATTAATCTCCAATTAATTAATCTTCACTCCGGTTCCCTCAGTTCTTTATTGGGGTGGGAAATTCCCATTTTAGGAATTCCCAACTTGGTTTATTTTGATTTTTAGGAATTCCCAACTTGGTTTATTTTGATTTTTTTGCCTTTTTTTTGCCCCTTTTTCCTGGGATTTTACAAATTCCCAATGAAATTCATCCTGAAAGAATTCCCACCCCAAATTCCCATCCTCAAATCCAGGAATTCCTGCTGGGATTTCTCCAATTCCCAAAATTCTTCCCCAAAAAAATCCCAAATTTCTGCCCCTGGATCCCAGAGGAATTCACTCATTCCCATTTTTTAATTCCAATTTTAATATTTATTTCAAATTTTGTTGTGGTTTAAATTTCCTGGTTTTTATGGGGGCAAAAAAAATCTGAAATTCTCCTTGGAATTAGGAGTGAAATTTTATATTAAATATTGAAATTTATATTAAAAGAATTCCCACCCCAAATTCCCATCCTCAAATCCAGGAATTCCTGCTGGGATTTCTCCAATTCCCAATAAAAAATCCCAAATTCCACATTAATTAATCTCCAATTCCCAAAATAAAATCCCAAATTCCACATTAATTTCCACATTAATTAATCTCAAATTAATTAATCTTCGCTCCAGTTCCCTCAGTTCTTTATTGGGGTGGGAAATTCCCATTTTAGGAATTCCCAACTTGGTTTATTTTGATTTTTTTGCCTTTTTTTGCCCCTTTTTCCTGGGATTTTACAAATTCCCAATGAAATTCATCCTGAAAGAATTCCCACCCCAAATTCCCATCCTCAAATCCAGGAATTCCCGCTGGGATTTCTCCAATTCCCAATTAAAAATCCCAAATTCCACATTAATTTCCACATTAATTAATCTCCAATTAATTAATCTTCACTCCGGTTCCCTCAGTTCTTTATTGGGGTGGGAAATTCCCATTTTAGGAATTCCCAACTTGGTTTATTTTGATTTTTTTGCCTTTTTTTTGCCCCTTTTTCCTGGGATTTTACAAATTCCCAATGAAATTCATCCTGAAAGAATTCCCACCCCATGGAAATCTTCATCCTCAAATCCAGGAATTCCTGCTGGGATTTCTCCAATTCCCAAAATTCTTCCCCAAAAAAATCCCAAATTTCTGCCCCCTGGATCCCAGAGGAATTCACTCGTTCCCATTTTTTAATTCCAATTTTAATATTTATTTCAAATTTTGTTGTGGTTTAAATTTCCTGGTTTTTATGGGGGCAAAAAAAATCTGAAATTCTCCTTGGAATTAGGAGTGAAATTTTATATTAAATATTGAAATTTATATTAAAAGAATTCCCATGGAAATCTTCATCCTCAAATCCAGGAATTCCTGCTGGGATTTCTCCAATTCCCAAAAATAAAATCCCAAATTCCACATTAATTAATCTCCAATTAATTAATTTCCACATTAATTAATCTCCAATTAATTAATTATCACTAAGGTTCCCTCAGTTCTTTATTGGGGTGGGAAATTCCCGTTTTAGGAATTCCCAACTTGGCCACATTAATTAATCTCCAATTAATTAATTATCACTAAGGTTCCCTCAGTTCTTTATTGGGGTGGGAAATTCCCGTTTTAGGAATTCCCAACTTGGTTTATTTTGATTTTTTTGCCTTTTTTTGTCCCTTTTTCCTGGGATTTTACAAATTCCCAATGAAATTCTTCCTGAAAGAATTCCCATGGAAATCTTCATCCTCAAATCCAGGAATTCCTGCTGGGATTTCTCCAATTCCCAAAAAAAATTCCCAAATTCCACATTAATTTCCACATTAATTAATCTCCAATTAATTAATCTTCGCTCCAGTTCCCTCAGTTCTTTATTGGGGTGGGAAATTCCCGTTTTAGGAATTCCCAACTTGGTTTATTTTGATTTTTTTCCCTTTTTTTGCCCCTTTTTCCTGGGATTTTGCAAATTCCCAATGAAATTCTTCCTGAAAGAATTCCCACCCCAAATTCCCATCCTCAAATCCAGGAATTCCTGCTGGGATTTCTCCAATTCCCAAAATAAAATCCCAAATTCCACATTAATTAATCTCCAATTCCCAAAATAAAATCCCAAATTCCACATTAATTTCCACATTAATTAATCTCCAATTAATTAATCTTCGCTGCGGTTCCCTCAGTTCTTTATTGGGGTGGGAAATTCCCATTTTAGGAATTCCCAACTTGGTTTATTTTGATTTTTTTCCCTTTTTTTGCCCTTTTTCCTGGCATTTTGCAGGTGGATTCCCTGCACCGCGTCCTGCACCCGACGGGGAGGTTCCAGCCTTTGTTCTCCACGCAGCGCCTCGATGTAAATTGGGATTTCATTCCTAAATCTCAGCAATAAATCTGATTTCTTATTTTCATTTTATTTTTCTTTTCTTTTCATTTTATTTGAATTTTTTCTATTATTTTAATTTTATTTTTCTTTTATTTTTCTTTTAGTTTTCATTTATTTTAATTTTTTCTTTTATTTTAATTTTATTTTTCATTTATTTTCATTTATTTTTCATTTATTTTCATTTACTTTTCTTTTATTTTTCATTTATCATTCATTTATTATCATTTATTTTTCATTTATTTTCATTTATTTTCATTTATTATCATTTATTTTTCATTTATTATTATTTATTTTTCATTTATTTTCATTTATTTTTCATTTATTTTCATTTATTTTTCATTTATTTTCCATTTATTTTCATTTATTTTCTTTCATTTTTCATTTATTTTTCATTTATTTTCATTTATTTCCATTTATTTTCATTTATTATTCATTTATTTTCATTTATTTTCATTTATTTCCATTTATTTTCATTTATTATTCATTTATTTACATTTATTTTTCATTTATTTTCATTTATTTTCATTTATTTCCATTTATTTTCATTTATTATTCATTTATTATCATTTATTTTTCATTTATTATTCATTTATTTTCATTTATTTTTCATTTATTCATTTATTTTCATTTATTTTCATTTATTTTTATTATTTCCCCCAGCAAAGCCAATATTGGTATAAGCAAAGAAGTTGGAAAAATGGGATTTGGAAAAATGGGATTTAATTGATCAACTTTTAAATCTTTAATTATAATTACATATATTTATACATTTATATATTTTTATATATATATAATTAAAATATTTAATATGATTTTAAATATATTCTATCTTATAAACAATTTTAATAATAATATGCTAATAAAATATATTATATAAATCATAATATATTAATTAAAAACTACATTATCCTCTACATTGATATTTAAATATATAAATTACAAACACATACTTTATATTTTTTAAAATACTGAATTTTAATTACAATAATTTTACATAATAAATTAGTTTTACATTATAAAATATGTTCTAAATTAATTTTACATTGTAAATTAATACTCAAACGTTTTTCATTATAAATTAATATTCTAGGTTAAATCAAAGTGTATTAATTGACATTAAAATTTATAAATTAAATATGCAAATAAGGAAAAAGGAAGTTTTATAAATTAAATATGCAAATAAGGAAAAAGGAAGTTTTTTTGGGGGGGATATCTATAAATTAACATTAAAATTTATAAATTATAAATATGCAAATAAGGAAAAAGGAAGTTTTTTTTGGGGATATCTATAAATTAACATTGAAATTTATAAATTATAAATATGCAAATAAGGAAAAAAGAAGTTTTTTTTGGGGGATATCTATAAATTAACATTGAAATTTATAAATTATAAATATGCAAATAAGGAAAAAGGAAGTTTTTTTGGGATATCTATAAATTAACATTGAAATTTATAAATTATAAATTATAAATTATAACAATTATACAAAACCAATGGAAAAAGGAAGGTTTTTGGGACAATAAATATAAAAACAAGAGAGAATAAGTTTTTTTTGCCTTATCTATAAATTGACCCTGAAATTTATAAATTGCAAAGATACAAATAAAGGAAAAATGAAGTTTTTTTAGCACAATAAACATAAAAACAAGAGAGAATAAGTTTTTTTTGGGGATATCCACAACCTGCACGCTTTCCTTTTCAAACCACCCTCACTTCCAAACGCACAAACATCACCTAGAGTTAATTTCTCGAGGATTTAATGACAATAAAAATTAATTAATTACATTTTAATGTCCCCACAGGCCAACGGCAGCTGGCAGGACGCTGCCACCCCCTCATCCATCACCTCCCCCACCGGAGACCCGGGAAGCGACGCCTCCAATTAAAACATTTTTTTAGGACCTTTTTTAACGAGAGGAGAGAGGTCAATTAGCGTTAATTAACCGAAGTTGCAAGAATTATTGACTCACAATTAATTAATTACCTCAGAAGAAGCCAATAGATTGCGATGGCAGCGACACCTCTACCTCTCACCGACTTCTTGGCCCCGCCGGGGACCTGAAATTGTTTCCGACTTCATTTCGCCTCAGCAAATTCCGCTTTATTTTAAAAAGGAAAAACTCCACTGATTTCCACACGAAGAAAATAAAAAGTCTCGGCGTTCGTCTCCAGTTTTACAGTGGAAGAAAACGGATTTATTTTCGTTTCCGACCGGTTTGTTTGGGTTTTTTTTTACTCTGGGATTTTCTGTTCTAAGTGAATAGTTCCAGTTCAAGCCTCCTCCCCGTATTGTAATTGTATGTTCTCTGTATTGTAATTTTCT